AAGTCCTCGGGACTTGAACCATTGAGGCAGATGTTCATGAGCATGTCAACAGTTTCAACATCAAGTGAGTTTCGATACTCTGATTTGAGTCGCCCCATACAAGAGAATCCCCTTTCACAGCAAGATGAGGACACTGCCATTGCCAGACAAATCTCAACCACCATGAACATGTGAGAGAGTTCAAGTTCATCTGGATGCACCTGATTGAACACTTCTACCCAGAACTCAGCCTGACTTAAGTTTGCAATGCGTTTGTGGTCATAACAGTACAGTTTTAGAGATAGCCACTGATCCTTTGATACTTCCAAGTCGAAAGCATTGCTTCTGAGGACTGCCTGAAAGTGCTGAGCCACAGTAACCAATTCTTCTTCTCCATACAAACCTAGATCATTTCTCTCCTTTGGCCAAGACTTATTGTTAGTGATAACACCGCAAGCTTTTAGTACTGGGGAAGTGAAGTCTTCAAATCTTGAGGCTAGAAATTGCTTAGCATCAGTGATGATTGATGCTTTACTTTGCTCAAACAATCTGTCATCTGTGTTGTTCCTTGTAAGACTGACCCCCTTGAACACTGTTCCAGCTCCTACTTCTTCTTGAAAGGCAGCAAGATGTTTCCCAGGTCGTCTTCGCATGTTCTCTAAGGCTTGACTAGCTCGCTCAATCTCAGCCTTCACTTGCGAAATAGAGATAGAATCCTTCTGAAAAATAAGTGAGATCTTTGACACTTCCTCTAGAATGTCCCACATTAAATGAAGGTGAAGCTGGAATTTGTAAGCCTTGAGCTTCTTTGACAAGTTCCTACCCCTGTCCTTGCATTTCTGCTGAAGAATCTCTAGCTTCTGCCGTGTGCTCAAAGTGAGAAACAATTGCTTGAAAGTTTTTTTTTTTGAAGTAGAACAGTTAAAGCACGGAGCAAATGAGGCACCCAACGAGTTCCACTGGCCTTTGTTGGTTTTCCCACTTTTATTTCCATTGCCTCTGCCATTTCTCTTAGTTCTCTTAAAGCCTTTGGGGAATACTTATAGTGTTTCCAGCAGCCATTTAAAAGTTCCTTGATGCTCATCATTGTTTCATTGCACTTCAAAGTGTCACTAAATGCAAGTTCTAAATTGTGTGCTACACAATGAATTGGAATAACTTGAGGTGCTTGTTGTTTAATTAATGAAACCACACCACCAATCCTGCCCATCATAACTGATGCACCGTCTGTGCCAGTGCTGATCAGTTTTGCATCCACTGAGGGTCGATCTTATCCATAACCGACTTGATTGCCTTTAGAATTCCTGGTGCCTTTGCACTTTCAACCTCAGCCAGCTCAACATAGCACGTTTTTGGAGCCCCACCTGATACAAATCTCACATACACTATTTCTTCTTCCAAACATGACACATCTGTTGCTCCATCTGCCATTATAGATATAAACTTAGCAGTGCTTAAAGAATCTATGAGATCTGCCCTCAAGGTATCAGATATATGTTTACAAAACTCTTTACAAGCATGATCATTCATGTACGTGTTTCCGAGGTTTAAGCCATTCTTTTTTTTGCAATGAACACAACTGTGAGAATATAGAAAATGGAAGTTTCAAATAAGCTATATAATATGCTGTATTAAAAGATACTCCATTTTCTTCAATGTTTCTTCATCAAGTCTGCTCAATGCAGCAGGCAAAGGTCTTTGCTCTCTTGGACGCTCGCTTGCACGTTTAGCTGCTAAACTCATAGCGTGTCCTTCACTGGCCTCGTGAGCCTTTAAGCTGTCAGTTTGAAAGTTATTTGTTCCGACCCTCAAGGAATAATGTGTGTTTTTCCCATTTGAAATTCCTGCAAAACTCGCAAAACATTTTGTTTTTCTTTCTCATCAAAGTGGAGCCATCTGTACTTTTCTATCCACGATTCCTGAAACTTCCGTGTTTTCTTTATCGGAGTTGCAGCAGGCGGTGCTGGTGTTGTGTTGCTTTTTCTTGATTTTGCTTTCCTCCGAAGAAAGAACTCAGTGAGCATTGAACTTTTTTTCGTTTGGACATTTCAAGAAGTTGTGTTTTGAAAGAAAATAGAGATTCAATCAACATCGATCATTTGGCAAACGCGGGAAGCCGCCATATTGAATCCCACAATCCATTTAATCTCAGCGTAGAACCCAGACTCTTACCTGCCAGGCCAGAAACGCCTAGCGATTTTTGCTCGACGTTTTCGAAGCATTCGCTTTCAGAAATTCTTTATCTGCTTTGACACTTTTAGCCCCTTTCAGCAAGATACAAAAGCAATTATTTATCGGGGTACTGTAACTTTACTCGTCCACAGGACTAGTGGCAAAAAAACCTACTCGTTTTGGGCAATTTTTACTCGTTTTGGACGAGTGGACGACCGTTAAGTTCGAGCACTGCATTCCATTGATATAAGTAGCAACTGCATGATCTTCGCACATTGATCCCCATTTCATGACCTCATTTATTGGCATTGTTTCAGTTTCGTTTGTGGAATCATTGGCAGGCATCAATTGTTTTGCATAAAGAACCATTTGTTCTCTTCCTCTCCAACCTAGAAGAAGGATAATAATTTTATGTTATCAAAAGTTATTTCTAAGGCCAGGATATTTTTTAGTCCAAACGCCAATGCTATACTGTTATTCATGATGTAATTTATTACTAGCATATGTTATATACCTGATTAAAAAAAACTTTGTCACTAAGATGTGTAAACCATGAATGATTAAGCTTTTATGGGTATACTTTCATTAGGTCACATAGTGCAAGGTTTATACTGTACTTTTCAAGCGACACCGTTTTTTCATTCAGCTGTATTTTAAGGTTATTTACCTAATGCAACTGCAGCTTTACTTCCATTCACTTTTCCTTTCCTTGCTTTTTTCCATTCCTCCGTCCCTTGTTTAAACAATCGCTCATCATTCACTTTGTTAGTACCTTTGGCTTGAACTGGTACTAATGTAGGGTTGTCTCGCAATGTTACCTCATGTAAACGAAGCAGTTGTATGGTTAGAGGGTCACTGATGTCTCCCTGTAAAGAAAGGTTATTGAACTTAAGCCCTTATCAGAAAGTGTAAAAACTCTACTTTCTTAAGGAAAAAGGGTTTTTTTTACTTAAAGGCAGAGATACAGGCACTTTTATAATATATCATGTAAAACAATGACGCATTTATAGATACATTTTTACCTTGCTTTTAGAGTTCTTTGATGTACACTTTGGTGTAGATATGGCAGCTTGAGATGATGTGTTTTTGCAATCTTTTTTCAAGTGGCCAGCCTGACCACAAGCATAGCACTGCTGCTTTGCCAACCAAGCGGGATCATGTGGAATGTCTTTCATACATTGCGCTGCCCAATGACCAAGCTCGCCACATTTGAAGCATTGATCAGTTGACTTTACAATTTTTGCCCTTTCTTTTATAGCTTGCTCTTTTTTTTCAAACTGGCGTAGCATTTGACGAATTGCTGATGATTGCTTCTCATTACTGGGATTCAGACCGTCAACTGCAAGAAATGTCACACACCGCCTCTTGCAAATTTTTTTACTAAGCAATTTAAAAATTTCTCCTCCTTGGTATTTAGCATCAGGATCTTGATAAACATGAGTAAACAGTTCCTCCCATGCTGCTATTAATTCTTTGTCTTGTGGTACAAAATTTAAGGCATCTGTTAGAATGTTGTTGTGCCATTGTTGTGGAATGAAGTACTGTTGCCTCAATTTAAAATTCATTTTCTTCAGGAATTTAAGTAGGTACTGCTTATTTGCTTTCTCTTGAAGACAACTGACAAATTTGACCGTGTGTCCAATAATAGCACTGGGGGATTTAACAGCTATATGATCAAGGACTTGTCTAGCTTGTCTATACAGCTGTTCCTCATCTTTTTTGGTGTAAAAAGTTTCAATTTCTGTCTCATTGACTTCAAGACTTTTGATAACAGTAGAGTCAGATTTGGGGATGTCATGGTCTTTTGACATTTTTCCAATATTATTCTTTTTTCTTTTCAGAGGTACAGAAACAAAGTTAGGAGTTGCTAGAGTGGCATATGACCCGATGTAAGCTTGATCATATTCTTTCTTTTCAGCTTGTATGAGAAGGCTTGTAGTAATACTTGAATTTCCTTCCATATATTGTTGCACTGTTGGTTCCCCACCAGCAATTCTACTTCTTTGAAGACTGAAGTAATTCTCTACGTCATCTTGATTAGTTGTACGAGGAACTATGATGGTATCACTGTGATTTATTTGGAGGTAAGTTACAAGACCTATAAATCCTCTGATGGAACGGGTGAGGTCATTGTACGTGTGCTTGGAGATAAATTTTCTCCAGTGTTCTTTTTAAAGCACCTTTGTGATCTTTTTTTCTTCTTCAAGCAGCTCTGTATACCATCGTTTGAAGAACACAAGTACACTAATGAGTTTGCGTGTCATGTCATCATCAATTGAAATGCTGTTCAAGATTTTAAAATATTCAGCAGCTTTCCTGATGTAGGTTCTTGTCATGAGTGTAGTGGGATGTCCATACTTGCTGTTATACAGTATGTCGTCTGCAACTTCCCTAGAGCATGTTTCCACAGCACGCTTAACTGACATCTTCGTCCGAGAGCTGAGAAATAGATGTTTTGATGAGAGCTTTGTTTGACCCCTCTGGGCCACATCAGCCAAGTGATCAAAAGAAATGTCATAATTGCTGTACTTGAGATTGCGTTTTTGAGATATTAGAAAGTTACGCAACTTCTTTATCATGTGGGGAGGGTCAGATAGCCAAAAAATTGGATTGTTGTTATTGAAAGGATTTTCTGTCATCCAATTTGTGGAGCCATACTGATTAAAGAATGCTGAGCTGTGAGTTGCGCCATCACATACACCATAGAGCACTTGAACTTTCTTATCGTTGTTTCTACCAAACTTTAACTCACTTAGAATACTAATAGTACTCCATACACAATTTCCAAGTGTTTTTGCATTTAATTTGTTTACTGGAAAGCTAGCAACCTGACCATGCAAAGTCCCCTTCTATAGAAGACCAGAAGAACTCAGGAGGATTATTTTGGCGACTGGTCTGCTGGAGGTTTCTGTCAATTCTTCATCTGTTTCATTGCATGTGAAGGCTTCATCAGTCAAGGAATCTTCACAATCACTGCTTTGAAATATTTGGTATCCATTAGTTTTTTTGGGCTCTTTTTCATCCTTGTTGATCACTTCTAAAATATTTTCAGGGATCTCTAAGTCCTCAAAACCAACAAGTTCGTTGGTTCTAGCACATACTTTAATACCCTTTTTGATGTAAATCTCGTCCCAGTGGATGCCACCTATTCCCTTGCAGTTACGCCTTGTGAGTTCTTGTGAGAACAGTTTTAAGTTATCTGGTGAAACAACTCTGTAAGATTTTTGAGATTGCCTGTAGCTATTAACTGTGATGAGAGATGGAATTGGTAAGATTTCTCTTACCAAGTTATAGCCTCCTGGCCACACTTTCTTGCTAGTTCTGCGCACCACTTCAAGACAACTGGATGGAAGCGCATTCCTTTCGGTTGCATTTTCTTCCCCAGCTTTGTAGGGTCTTTGCAT